CCACATGAAACTGTCTGAAAATTGTGAGCCAAATAAGCCTCTGTTATTTATAAATTACCCACTTTCAGGTATTCTGTTATAGCAGCACAAAAATGGACTAATACAATGTGCCTGTTTTCCTGCTTGAACAAAATATAATGCCTTTAATGACCTCCTTTTTTCTTTAAAAAAAAAAAAGATGATTCGTAAGGGGATCTTAACCCTTGACTTAGTGTTCTTAGCACCACACTCTCCCAAGTGAGCTAACTGGCCATCCCTATATAGGGATCTGAACCCATGGCCTTGGTGTTATCAGCACCACACTCTCCCAAGTTAGCCATGGGCCAGCCCTAATGACCTCCTTTTAATGTGTGTAAAATATATAAGAAATATACCAAAGTTCTCCTCTGCTCACTTGCAAAATAGGACAAGCTACTGCCATGCATTATTCTCCTTTTCTCTATTTTCTGTGAAATATTTTTTGTAGAAGTTTTAAAGTTGTGGGCTGATTATTAAGCTATTGTCTCTCAGCTCAAATCCCACCCTTTCATACTCAACTTTGTGATGCTGGGGCTAGGACTCTGCAAACTACATTTATCCTTTGTCAGGCAGGTTCTCTGTTGTATTTTCTTTTTCTTCCTTCCTTTCTCTCTCTCTCTCTCTCCTCTCTCCCCTTCTTTCTTTCTTTCTTTGTTTCTTACTTACTTACTTAGCTGGCTGGTACAGAAATCTGAACCCTAGACCTTGGTGTCATCAACACTGCATTGTAACCATGTGAACTAATTGGCCATATTTTTCTAATAAGGAACCCTAGAGGGTTATTGGAAAGTAGGAGGAAGATAGAAGGGATTTCCTCTCTCTCGTTTGCTCATAATTTCTGTCAGTATCACTCCAGTAACAGACCTTCATCCTGGCAACAGCAATCGGTTTCAGTTTACGAATTCTCTGGTCTCTTCCAGGACAAGCTCATTGTATCCCCTTGGAGGTGCCCACACCTTCTGGGCAGCCCCCACCTCAATGAGAGGTATGCATCCCAGTTTCTTGGGACACCTACTCCATGCTCTTAAGGTACAGCACTAGCCAAGTAGCACTCCCTATTCAGAGATCTGCATCCCAGCTCTGCATGGCTTTTTCTCTGAGCTCCTGAGACACCAGCAGCATACTGGCAACACCTTCTGCTCAGAGGTCTGAGGTACAGCTCTGCAGGGCCTTTTCTCGAAGCTTCTAGATTCTGATAATCTCAACCTCTTCCTTTTGTTCCCTGATTCTTAGGCGCGGTAGCTGCTTCCTGATATCTCTGTATTATCTCAAGGTTGCCTTTCTACTTTTTCAAGTTTTAATCTCCTATTTAACTAATTCCCTGCGTTAAATTCTCTGTTGAAATACCTAGTGTGGTTTCAGTTTTCCTGACTGGACCCTGACTCAATCTTTAGGCATAGCTGGGTATTAAATGTGGGTTTACTGGGCTCTAACATTTGTGCTCTTTCCTCCATATTGAACAGTCTTCTTAGGTGCTGGCAGCAGCAGTGAAAGTGAAGAGAAGGCTTTGAGGGACTAGATAGAGAATATTAGGACAGAGATTTTTTTTAAATTTTAATTTTGAAGTCATATCTGCATGCTTTGGGCAGTCATGGAAGAGAACAGTGTCTGATCTGGAAAGGAGTAGCTTCCTTAGAATTGCGGATACTCTGACCCTCTGAGTCCCTAATATTTTCCCTAGGGTTATGATATTTCATTGAATTAAATCCATAAACATTTATTGGGCTTCTTTTGGATGCTTGAAGGTTTTTGTCTGGTGGAGAAGGAGAGTGGTGGAGCAGTAGGGTGTTAGTAGTGAGTATATCCTTAGACAAAGAATACCTTGAAGATGAGAGCTGTTTCTTTTCTGAGGCTAGAGAACATGCTTCCTCCATCATTCTGGTGGTTCTTGAAAGACAGCAACCACAACTACTCCATCAGCTTTGGTCAGAAGCACTGCCCTCCTTGTGCCTCTGTCCTTGCACACCAGGAGACTCAAGTCTGGGCAGGATGACTTCTATGGTGTGGCACTCTCCTGTGCTCAGAGACATTGTAAACATGCTTGCTTATTCTTCTCTTTTGTTCTCTACTCCACGTCTTCATAAGAAAGACCAAGAAACATGTTTTCCCCCACACATAACATCTGCTAAACTCATTATATGTTGCTACTTTGAAATAGAACGGATGGGAAGCTTGGGACATAACCTGGGAAGATGAGGTATTAAATTAAAGCTGTAATTAGGAACTTGCCTGGGGAAGAGGAGAGCAGGCTAGCCCTGATCCCACTATCATTACCCAGGGACTTTCGCCCTCTTCCTGTGCTATCTGTTTTTCACTGACCTTTTTCTGGAGGGTGGGAGACTCTACTGGCTACCTCTTGCTATGTGCTGTGAAACAGTTGTCCTCCGTACTAAAGTGTTCAAGTTTTAAGCTTGAAACTCAAAAGGAAAGGAAACCTTCAATTTGAATATGTGGTATAAGGAATAGCCACCTGCAAATAATTTCACTCCTCGATATTTCTCTCACAAATCTCAGTAGCCACATTTTGACACTTTGGCAATTTTTTTTCTAAGTGTCTTCCTATTGTTGCTTAAAATGATTGCTTTTCCAATTTTGTGTTCCTTTCTTTCCTCATCATTGTCACCTAATAGCCTTGAGTTGCTTTTTACCCATTTTCATAGAGGACATTGCTTCAGTCTGTCTTTCCTTCCCAACTCTTTCCATTCTCCAGAACTACAGTACAGTTTATTCATATCAATGATCTATTCAACATTTTTGTTTAATGCTTATTTGCATCCTTCAACACTAGTGACATATTCTCTATGTAGTCCAGGCCACAAATGTTGTAATCATACACTCGATCACCACACAGAAGTACACTACCTCTGAAGTCCTGTATTTTAGTATCCTTTCCAGCCCTCTTATTCCTTTCCCCCACTACCTCCACTTTTATATCTCCTGATGACCTCTAGGCCTTTAACCTTTGATTGTTCAGAACCCTCCTGTTTTCACTGCTCTTCTTATACTTGGCTGTCAGGCAGCACAGTGACCCTCTCAAGTACTCCTGTTTCTCTGCTGTACACCTGTGACAATTGGATGAAAGCAGTGCCCGGACTGCTAAGGGTCTCTGCAGAAACAGCACAACTGTGAAGTTCTGCACCCCTCTTCACTCCTTCCTTTCTGTATCAGAAGAGCAGAAGAGGAGGGTCCCTTCTCTCAAGCGTCAGCTTTCCTGCTTCACTCTTGTTCCCATATGGTATGTACTTCATTTAACAGATCATCCCTTGGCTCTCCTCTTAACTGGCTCCTCCTCTCCCTATTAACAGGTAATATTATTTGCTTCCATTTTGCAGGTGAGGAAACTAAGGTTCAGAAGAATTCCAAGGTTGTCCCACAGTCTCACAACCTGTAAGTGGCTGAGTCAAGAATCGAGCTCAGCTCTCTCTCTCTCTCCAAGCTCCACATTCTCCTCAGCAAAGTTTACCCATATCCACTTCTCTATCTTCCCCTCCATCTACTGCTCTCTATTTGCTCCCATAAACTTCTCTCCATCCTGATCCACTCAGAATCATTGCGGCTTTATTTCAGTTCCCACCATTCTACTGCTATGAAATTTGTTGACTTATACCTATGTGTTCTCTAAACTTTCAATCCCATAGAAGCAAGGACCATATCATACTCATCATTGCATCTCCAGGGCCTGAAGAAAGGAACTGCCCCCACTAAAGCAGCCATCAGCATCTGCACATTACTGAGTCAAAGGATCCTTCAGTCCTTGTTTCCTCGAACCATCGGAGGGTTTAACATTGCTGACCACTTCAACATCCTTCACACAGACTCCTCCCCTGAAACCACTCTCTCCTTGTTTTCCCTCTGCCTCTCTGACAACTCCCCCCAGCCCTCTCCCCCGCAAATTTAGCCTTCTGTTTTGTCTTACAAAGATCTGCCTCTCTTCACTCCTGCTGTCACTAGTCAGGTTCAGGCCACCCTTGTCTCTCCTCTATATTAATGTAACAGTCTCCTAATGGGTCTCTTGGATCCCATGCCTGTCTCCTGTAATCCACACTCTTCTATGACTGCAGAGTGATCATTCCAAAATGCAAATACGATCTTGCCACTTTCTTGCTTTGGATTCTTGAATGGTTACATATGGGGGAATGAAAACTCAAACTCCTTATCATGACAGATAATACCTTTTTATCTGGCCTCTGCTTACCCATCCAACTTCGTTCCCCTCCCTACCCCATACTCTCCGCGTCAGGGCAACATGGAATTCCTGGTGAGTTTTCGAGCCTGCTGTGTTTATCCATGCCTCCATGCCTTTGTCCGTGCTGTTCCTTTTGCCTAGAAGAGGTTTTCTTCTCTCCATATCCTTCTTTCCCAGAAAATACCTTATAATCCTTCAAGTTCAACTCAAATTCACCTTCTCTGTGAGATGTTCCTACTTTAATTATTATTATTATTTATTTATTTATTGGCAGCTGGCAGGTCTGGGGATTCGAACCCTTGACCTTGGGGTTGTAACACTGCGCTCTAACCAACTGAGCTAACCACCCCACCAATGTTCCTACTTTTAGTGATTGTTGCCTCCTGTATATTCCCAGAGACTTTTGTACATGGAGTTAGTATTGAACATAACTTCTCTTTACAGCTTGCCAGATCAGGACCTCCTTAGGAAAGAGACTGACATTTTATTCTTCCCTTGCAATCATAGTGTTAGCATGATGTATAAATAATAAACATTTGACAAATGAATAAATGAATGAACAAATGAAACTCATATGCAGAAGAAAGGGGAGAAAACTTAAAAGCCATAGACAGAAGGTTGCTTTGCAGCTGGTTACTGTTAATTCTGGATGAGTGATTATTTTTCAGAAAATGGATATAAGACTCTCAAAGACGAATGCAGTTAGCAAAAATATAGCAGGGATGATGCACTCACCTAATTATCCTCTTCTTACTGTATAGGGAGAGTGACTTTAGGACACAGAAGTCTCAGAGAATCAGCCAGGAAGCTCCCTATGTGAGGTCAGAGCCTGGCACTTCTTGGTGGGGACCTGTACCTGTGTCCTTTGGAAGAGAGTTGACAGTTGCTGCCTGATCTCCTTGGTTCTGGCCCCATAGATGATGGGGTCAACTAGACATGGGAGCAGCAGGTAGAAGGCGCTGAGCAGGTTGTGCACATCCTGGGATGCAGTGCGGGCCACACGGTAGACGATGGATGAGGACATGGTGGAGAAGTAGACGGTGAAGATGACCAGCAGGTGGGAACCGCAGGTGTTCAGAGCCTTGGAACGTGCACCACCTGATGAAATCCTGAAGGCGGCGTGGATGATGCGGGAATAGGAGGCTCCCAGTAGGAGCATGTCCAGGACTCTGTTGAAGATGCGGACAGTGAGCCCCACATTCTTGTTCAGGGAGATGTCCCCACAGGAGAGCTTCATCAGGGCCATGTGCTCACAGGCAAAGTGGTGGATCACATCTGAGCGGCAGAAATGAACCCGGGAGGCCAGCCCCACCACTGGAGAAACAATGCATGTGCTCCTGGCAGCTGCCACCCCCACCAGGCCAGCCAGCAACTGGACTGTCACTATCTCTGGGTAGTGGAGAGGGTAGCAGATGGCAACATAGCGGTCCAGAGCCATGACCAGGAGGATGTTGCAGTCAAAGACAATGAGAAAGTACATGCAGAACATCTGGACCAGGCAGCCAGCCAGGGAGATGCGGATGAAGCGTGTGGAGAGGCTGAGGAGCATGGTGGGCACCACAGTGGTGGCGGCACAGATGTTGATGGCCAGGAGCAGGGTGATGAGCAGGTACATGGGCTGGTGTAGGCTCCGCTGGGCCACCACCGTGTGGATGACCAGGGCATTGGTGGAGACAATCACCAGGTAAAGGCTGAGGAAGGGCAGCAGCAGGAGGGCACGGTACTCTTGCAGCCCTGGGAAGCCCACCAGGAGGAAGCTGGTGTAGGACGTATTGGAGCTGCCATTGCTCCCCCCTGACATCTTCCCTGGGGAGCAGATGGCTCTGGGAAAAGAAGAGGGTCAGGAGGCCTGGTTTCTGTACCGTGGCCCTTACCAGGACCTGTCCCAGCCTCACCAGGCTAGATTGGGGGCTTTGGTTTTCATGAACTACAATATTTCCATAGAGAAAATGAAGAATTATGTGTTTTCATTTAGTGAGACGCATCAAGTAATAACTACCTTCCATAGTCCCAACATGTCTTTTTTTTTTTTTACTCCTTTCTTTTTCTATAAAAATCTTTCATTCATTTTTTCACTAACAAACCCTTGTTGAGGACCTATTTCGTGCTAGGCTCTATGCTAGGGGCTTGGAATACACAATGAAAAATTGATTGTCTCTGTCTTGAATGAACTCACATTATACTGAGCAAGACTGAAGTGACAAGTAAATAATAAAATGCAATGAGTAACAGGATATTAAAATGGGACCCTTTTTGCTCCAGTTTCGATTGATGTGCCCAAAGCCCAAGAACAAAGCACTAGACGTACTCCTTTGTTCATTCCAAACTGAGATGCTCGGGGGCTGGCCCGTGGCTCACTTGGGAGAGCGTGGTGCTGACAACACCAAGTCATGGGTTAAAATCCCCTTACCGGTCATCTTTTAAAGAAAAAACAAAACTAAACTAAACAAAAAAACAATCTGAGGTGCTGGTGTAGACTTCCTACATGGGATTGACAGAAGGGGTGGCTGAAAATTGTTGCTGCAATCCTTAGTCCAACACCCATCTGGAGAGTATAAAAGGTTTGAGGTTGGAAAGTCTGAGAGAAAGACAGCCTTTGGAGAGAACTGGCATTTTCCTTTCCTGCCTCCCATAGGGGTGGTGGCAGGTAGATGTTTGCAGAAAATGGAGCTTACTTCTCATCTTGAACTAGTAAAAGGTGCTTTAAAAAGATACAGCAGTAAATCTAAATTGTGTCTCCATAAGTATGTTATGATCTACATTTTTAGTAACTGTATAAAAAATAGAGATGAATAGAATCATTTGTTCTTAGTGAATCTATTTGTGGTTATCTAGAGATTGCCTCTTTCTCTTGTTGGCATTAGATACGATTTAATGATCTATTCTAGTCATTTGACAGGGATGGACTTTGAGTTGCAGTTATCCACCTTCCTCTCACTTTTATGAATTGGTATTCTTTCCAATTTCTACTCTTTCCCTATGATTTCTCAAAGAATATTGGGAAGAAACCATGAAAACATTTGGTAGTTCTTTCAATAACTCGGAGCTGAACTTATGTTAACATAGTCAGATGTTCTCTTATGATCTCTATCCCATCTTGGGTTTTATTTCCTTCTCAGCTAGGTTTGCTCTGCCTTTCATGGTTTCAGAGTGTTTCATATACAGTAATATAAAAGGTAGAACAGAAGTGAGAGATGAGCAGTTTTTCATCTGACCAAGCCCCACAGAACTCTGTTTCTTTGGTCCTTTCTTTCTGATCTTCTCCCCACCCCCACCCCCACCCCAACTTCTCCTCCTTTTTGGGAACAATCATCTGAAAACTCCATTCTCCCCAGTGCTGGCTGCAAAATTGTTGTTTATTCAGTAATATGGACCTGCAACCCTTGGGGCCATTCTAGGCTGACCTCAAAGTATGAGAGAAGAGGAACATATGAAGTGGGCACCCTGGAACTGAGGCCAAGGAAGGTGGCCATAGTCCAGGGCAGAGGTTCTCACAGTGGAGTCTGGGGAGTAGCAAGGAAGGCAGGAACTGCTCAGATCTCAAGTTGTTTAGTGGTAGAGAACCACAGGGGCAGGGACAGGGGAAGTTCATTGTCCCTGTTCTTCCTTGGCCTCCGGGGCTGTGATCTTAGCATCAGAGAACCTAGAGACCCACAAAGCCTGAGAACCTTTGGACATCCAAGTAGGGCTGCCCCTTAGGGGGATTGAATCCAGCCCTCCAGCAGGAGTGCGATTCCTTGTAAGGTTCCCTGATCAGTGGATACCCAGCATCTGGTTCTCTCCCTCTAGTTTTGGGAAGAGCAAAGATTTTTCAGCACATCCTTTTGGGAGGCAGCCCATATTATCAGAGGGTCTTTGTGTGGGACAGAGCCCACTTTTAGGGAGTATCCTGTTGAGCTGGATGAGGTTTCCTGTCAACTCACCTCACAGGGGACAGCACGGGGTGGGGCTCATACTGAGAAGGAAAAGAAGGGTTGGATGGGTGGGAGGCCAGACTGAAAAGGCAGGACCCGAAGCTTAAGCATGCAGGCAGCTCCCAGGGACATGGGGTAGTGGAGTAAAACAGACTTCATTGTGAATCTTGGTCCTGCCACTCACTACATGTGACTCTGGGCAAAAGATTTATACAATCTTCATCTGTAAAAGGGCAGTTACAATACTGGCCTTGCAGGATGACGGGGAGATTAAATTGCTGAAAACTGTAAAGCTGATGAGCAGTGTAGGTGCCTAACCAATGTGAGGAGCCTTCTTCCTCTGTGCCTCCTTTTGGAAGGGGAAGGAAGTGGGCCCAGGGCATGGTTCCAAACCCTGGACATGGGAAGAGAGTTTGGGGACATAAAAAAGGCTGCTTCTTTGGCCAATGGGCTTGTGGACACACACAGGGATCTGTCTTTATTTTACTCCTGAGTCTGTAGCCTAAGATCTTGTACAATCTCAGTTTCCATCTGTCTGGAAAAGGGAAGGTTTAGCCTTAGATCTGTTCCTCACTCAAAGTGGGGTCCTTCAGGGCATTTGCAGCGTTGCCCCGATGCTAATAGACACCCTGTCCTGATAGAACCCTGAGTCCTCAGGCACATGGGCTTGCTGGGTGAATGTGGCTGCATCAAGGCTCAGAAGAGAAGGTTGTGAAGAGGGTGGTGGTAATGAGAGAGGCACAGGCTTATTTGAGACCTACTTCTGACTGCTTAATGGGCACCTATAGGAGAGGACCAGGTTTTGCTTATCTCCACAGAAGAGGAAAAGGAATAAGTGGGACAGAGTCTGCTATGCTATTGGCTCTGAGTTAGACTCAGAAGATATCTCAGGAGACATTTCCAACTTCAAAAGCCTTTAAACCTCAGGTTAGAGGCTGCGAAGATGGATACTCAGGAGGGAGCCCTTCTTTTTCTCTGGACTGGGGAAGGGGGAGTGCTTGACCAGAGGAACAGGGATGACTAGGATGGCCTTTGCCCTCATTCTCTGGGCTGAATTTCAACCCTACTGTCTCCCAGGTGAGAGCCTCCCCCCAGCTCCCTGCCTGCCAAGCACAAAGTCTCTTGCTTACCAGGACTTACACAGGCAGGAGAAATAAAGACAGGCCAGGCAAAGCCTGGGTTCCCTGAATGTAGTTAAATTCATTCCATTCCTCCCTGGGGGAATGCCAAGACCTTCCAGTCGCCGCTCCCTAGCTCTGACTTAGCCAATTAGCAGGTCCCCCAGGATGAGAGCACGTCCCACAGGGCCATGAGGGCTGGGGGAACAGTGTGAGCAGAGAGCAGCGTCTTGATTCAGACATACTAGGGAACAATTAGGGGGCTTGTCTGGGGGGAGTCGAGGGTCCCTACAGAGAGTAGTTCTCCAGGATCCTCCTTTGACCCTCTGCACCTGTTCTTTCTAGGTGATCTCGTCCATCTGATGATTCAAACACCTATCAACCCTCATGACCCCCTTATTTTTATACCCAAGTCTCTCTCTTGTACCTCAGACCCATTAACTGCTTATTGGAAATCTCCACCTAAATGTTCCACGGGGAAGTCAGGAGTATCAAGCACTGCACTGAAGTCACGCCTGCCTTCATTCCAAAATGTTGTCATCTCTCTGTGTTCCCTATGTTAGAAATACTATTGCCGCTCTCAAGTTTTCCAGAATTAGGAGGGAGGGGAGGAGAGAGGGAAGTGGGAGGGGAAGAGAGAGAGAGAGAGAGAGAGAGAAAGAGAGAGAGAGAGAGAGAGAACAGAGTCAGGGCTGGGAAAGGCATCCAAGGTTGCTCTCTCTTCATGTCTAACCCTTCATCAAGCCCCGCCAAACCTTTGTTTGGTCTTTGCAATGTCCCTCATCTCTATTTCCTCCTCTACTAACTATCCTGTTCTCAGTAGCGTCACTTCTAGACTGCTTATTGTGACTGTCTACTAGCTTGTGTCTTTTCTCTGTCTCACACTCAGCAGGTAAGAGTGCACCTATTGAACTTTACTTTTCTTAGTCTTTGCTAACTTGGTAGATGAAAAATGGTATTTCCTCGATTATATGTGTTGGCTATCATTTTCTTATATTTGTACAGTAGCTCCTTTTTTGTGAATAAACTATTTATTGTGATTTATTAACAGAATCTCAGTGTTTTGCTTGCTTAACTTCCCTCCTTGGATTCTCACTGCTTCCATGCTAAGATCCAAACTCTCCAGCAGGAAGGAGGGTCCCACTCTGCTCAGTGTCTGCTCTCCAGCACTGTTTATTGTCACTGTCCCTGCCATAATGCTAATGCCTACCATGTCGTGTTTTGAGAATCTGAAACATACCAGGCACATTGCCAGATACTACTTGTGTACAATAAACTTGTATTTAATTTTCACAACAACCTAAGAGGGTATGTATAAAGTTTCCTCATTTGGCAACTGAGGAAACCGAGGTAGTCAAATCCGTATTGAAGTACTTACAATTTTCTGTATAAGCCTTATTGTCTTCTATCCCAAGACGTCTCACAGGATGCTGCAAATTAAACCCGAAGTTTTTATTTTTCTAAAATTAAAAAAAAAATTGGGACATAATTGATTGTACATATCTGTGGGGTACAGTACTGAATATCAACACCAGTGTGCAATATGTGATGTTCAAAGCAGGATAATTAAAATATTCATCATTACACAATGTAATCAATTTTCATGGCCCTTTACCAACTCCTCCCTTTCCTCCCTCCCTTCCCCCACTCCATCCCTGGCAACCTCATTTCTGTTCTCTAAATCTGAAGCTTTTGGCTGGGAGGGAGGCAAGGGGTGAGTATAGAGAGAGACCTAGAGAGCCCAAGGGGTCTACACTGGATAAACTATA